ATCTTTCCTTTTAGAATTATTTATAACCCTATAAATAGAGTCTTTTACTTTGTAATAGAAACAAGTTTATTATATACAATTATAATATTCTTCACACTCTCGTCAAGTTGGATTTCTGTAGCTTGGTATTTTTTAATTGCATATTTATTACATTCCTTTATACTTTTTGATTGAGACGTTTATGACTCTTACTGTCTTCTTTTTCGATAATCAAATTTATTGCATGTATCCAATTTATAGAATACCCGTGAGCCCAACTCTAAAGGATTTGGATGCATCTTTTTTGACATTTCATTCCTTGTCAACACTATCTAGAAGTACTATCTATATATATATATTTATGCACCCATATGCGTCGAGCATGTATTGATTGTTCTTTCATTTTTACTGTACATGTAATTTTCCACCTCTATTTCATGCTGCGAATACTAGGAAAGTCTGTGACAATGTTGACCAGTCTTCGAAAATTTCTTTACTAGTCTTTGGCCTAGCTTCCTAGAAGCTGAAAGGTTCACTTTTAAGTCCCGTTGGACCCTTTGAATGTGAGCAAGAGAACTATCTTTTGTAATCTGCAGACAAATGGCTTCGAAATTTGCAGGTGAACCACCCCGATTGATAAGTTTCATACACAACGATATTGATGAAGGTAAAACTGTAATGTTCTTCTTCATATCTTTTACAATGATGATGTACATATTTATATGTGAGAATACAAGCTATATATGGGAAAGGGGGAATTGGGGCCTGTGATAAGAATAATCTGTAAATGGAAGACTTTGGCGTGATTTCTGTGATTTATGCTAATCATATCATTTGATTGTCACTGTGATTGTTGCTGTGTTGTAATACTCCCCCTCAAGTTGGAGTATAGAGATTCGTAATGCCCAACTTGGAGTGAAAGAAGATAAATAATTCACGTCCCAATGGTTTAGTACAAATGTCAGCCACCTATTGAGAGCTTGAAACATAGGAGGTAATAAGAAGACCAAATTTAATTTTCTCACGAATAAGATGGCAATCTAATTCAATGTGTTTGGTGCGTTCATGAAAAATGGATTGCGAGCAATGTGTATGGCAGCCCGATTGTCACAGTGAAGCATAGTGGGCTGTGGTGGGGCACAGTAAAATCTTGAAGGAGGAAGCGAAGCCAAACAAGTTCACAAGTGGTAGTGGCTATCGCACGATATTCAGTTTCAGCAGAAGAGCGAGATACTGTGGATTGTTTCTTAGTGCGCCAAGAGATGGGGCGGGGCTATCACCCAATTTGATGATGAAACCAGTTGTGGAGCGTTGTGTAAATGGACAACTTACCCAATCAAAGTCACAGAAGACAGATACCTGAAAGCTACAATTGGATGAGAAGAAGAGGCCATAACCCGAAGTAGTTTTCAAATAACGGAGAAGCGGTGGGCAACTTGTAGATGAGGCTTTCGAGGAGTGTGCATGAATTGGCTCAGAATGTTGACAGCAAAGGTTATATCTGGACGAAATATAGTCAAATAGATCAAACGGCCAATCAATCGTCGATACAAGCTAGGATCATCCAAGAGATCACCATCTGAGTCATTAAGCTTGCAATGTTGTTCCATGGGAAAATAAGTCGGGCGAGAGTTGAGTTGACTAGAGTCAGAAAGAATATCTAAAGTATACTTTCTCTGATTGATAAAGATGCCTTTAGGGGATCGGACTCCTTCAATCCCGAGAAAATA